CGATGGACACCATGGTCAATTTTTCGCTCGTGCTGCTCCTCTCCGGATATGCGCAGATGCGCATTCCTCGGAGGCGGTTTTAATTATACGTCGCACGCGCACGCCCGTCCCTTCGGCTCTTCGGCCCTACCGCCCTACCGCCCTACCATCTAGGACGACGACGAGTATGCGAGTGGAGGGCGTACCCAAAAAAAGCAGATCGAATTCTTGCACGTTATTAAGGGCTTGCTACGCGAATATGTATACATATATTATATGTATGCGTTTATCCCATTATTATTTTATAGTCGACAAGACTGGTCACACGTCTCTTCTTTTCTCTCTTCCTCCCCGCCCCTTTTTTCTTTCCTTTCTGAGCAATTGACGAATCGTAAACAAAATCGTACGACCTGCACCTGTGGCATCTATACTTTCTACATGATGTTGATTCATCGGCCATCCACACACGACCAAAAATTTTATCACGTTTTATTAATGTATAATCGAACGTTTTATCCCGATATCTCACTCGAGTAATTAAATTAAACACCGTATATGCCATCAAGACGATAAACAGTTCTCTTCCCGTTGCAACACGATGAAAGAATAGTGAGTAATCAGGTTACAGTAAATTTGATTATTTTTGTCGCATTTAACTATCACCCTCTGCTAATGGAAAAGACGTAACGTGTGATTAACATTTAATACATCGATCATGGTCATTCGCCGAATGATACATTGTAATTTCACAGAATCCAGTTTGTCAAGGTATGACACTTGATAAAATACGTATATATAAATGTAATTGCAAGGTAATTAGCATATAAGATTAAAAGAGTTATAATTTTGAACAATTTTTCAATGATTTATGATTTATGAATAAAGAACACGGCATTCGTGTTAGTGATATTAACAGAAATGTCGATCTAATTACTAAAAAATCAGAATCATTTCGTAGTTCGTATTATTTACGGGTGTCGTGAAAAACAAAAGGACATTTCTCATTGCCGGTACGTGTTCGGCAATTCTGTCGAATCCATCATAATACAGACTCACGGCACCCACGTGCGCCAGATGTACGTCTCTTTAACGCTTGACTGCCGAATTAAACAACGATTCTGAACGATTCTCGACGATGCTCGTCTTCATAGCCGTTTACCATGTGGACACGCATCGGAGAAAGTAGATTTGCGCGTAAAAAAAAAGTCTCTCTTTCCGGCCGGCCAGTCGCCCGTTCCTTTCTGCACGACCGATCGGCGGCTTTTACTTACGCTTTAATAATGTTGTAAGACCGCCTTGCTCGATCTCGCCATCGAGGAGTCGCCCTTCTCTTCCCGTTCCAGCCTGTCGAGAAGAGTGAGCCGCGATGCGGAAAGCAACGGGAGAAAACGCGAACGATGATGCACACATGACGTATGTACCCGGAATGCAATACGACATGGGCGGCGGAAATCGTGTAGCATAAGAATGCTTGTGGCACTTCTTGAATTCATTACGAGAAGTGATGCCGTAGAAGATAAATTGTTGCTTTATAAAATAAGTTAAAAATAGATTCTATGCAAAGATACAAATTTTGAAAAGCAACGAACCCAGAAGATTCTAAGCATATCAATCCAAGTCATAGTTATCTTAACTAGAATTATAATTTTTCCTAATATAACAAAAAGAAAATAATCTAATCCTGTGTGATTTATTCTCTTTAAGAGTTTCAGATACTATTTTTTTTTATTCTTCTACGAAAATTATTTTTTAACTTAATTTTAGCTGTATTATAGATATAGACTGTTAAAAATTATATCGCTGGCTGCTCATGGAAATTATTTACGGTCCAACCTTGTGGGTTCTGCTACCCCTACAAAAAGGTAGCGGAATTCGCCGCCAATGGAATGCGAATTCCATACGGGATTATCGCGAGCGCAATGTTTGATCGCATACAATGGTAACATGGGCGTGTGCAAGCAATGATATCGCTGACGATTAACCATGCCTGGATTACTTTGTAACCGTACGAGGTTTTTTTTTTATCAAACTTGCATATCAGGAAATCTCTGTTCAATAAATGCCTGGAAACGAAAACGTGGGATCCGCGAAACAAGATTACACCGTAAAATCAAAGATCTACATACAAAACGTACGATGATGTATGACACAATATATCATTGGTATCGAGAAATATCGCCGCAGAGAAACCGGAAGAGAAATTTGTGAGAAAGCAGAGATTTATAGATCCGGGATACAAGATCTGTTTATTGCTGCGTCATTCGATAAAATCTCACCTTCAATTCACCTTCAATTTCGCGATATCAATAAACGAATGTCTAATACGTAATGGAATTCTATTATATCATAAGCGAACGTAAATTTTAAGATTCGGATCAAAACTATGCTCGATTTAAAAATGCTAATCGCATTAGAAATCGTAATCGACCTGTCACGAAACGCTGCAAAATTAACATATCACGGTGATTAGAGAGGATAGTGATTAAAGATTGTCCATTTCGTCTTAGATCAAAAGATCGGAAGGAAAAGGTCTCGTATTTCCTCTTCCTCCTCCTCCTCTTCTTTTTTTTCGTACGAAATGTGCGAGCGCGTGTATACCACGAAACGCACTTTCTCCTGTATCAGGTTAAAGCGCGCCGCGCCGGTGAGAACGTTTCAACGCGATTTCCTAGGGCGTTCGTTGAGAGATCGCGATTTTGATTAATGTACAGGATCGACCAACAGACACGAACAACATTCTGTATTTAACTAACGTAGAGCGAGAGCCTCGAGCATCAAAAATTGATAAGGAAAAAATTGTCTTAAATTTTGATATATTAGATAAAAAATATTTGATCGTATTAGTAATAAAATTAACATTGAAAAGAAAATATATATTGAAAGAAATGTACATTAAAAACAAAATCATGAAAAAAATAAAATTAAAGAACAAGTAAGTAAAGAATCCATATGAAAAACAGTGATGGAGAAATAATTATTTTTCGAATTATTACCTGCGTAAATAGGTATTTTTTAAACAATTTTTTTCTTTCCTTTACATCAAGAAGAGATTTCTAAAATTTTAGAGAAATTTAAAAACCAAAATGTAACGGTATGTCTACTGGTGAGTACAAATTATGCGTCAAGATACGTTCATTCAGTGTGCATACATTGGAATGATTAGTCACGAGTGCGATCATCTTATAAATTATCCACGTACAGCTATTACGCGGCGATATGCTTCTCGTGAGAATTCTAATCCTTTGGTGGTCTCCAGTTCGCGATGCGCCGGCGAGCTTGAAAACTGAATGCGTTCACCGAACGAGACGTGCGACGTGTGAAAGCCCACGTATTGGACTAACTGTAACTAACTAGCTACGAAATATGGTCGAGCGGCTTTCTGAGCCTTCACACAGCGCATTTCAACCGACTGTGTATCGCTCTTTATTACGCGCATTTTGCATCTTTGAGTTTAGCAACAATCAGACTGCAAAAATTCTGCGATCCTAAACATTTGCAAACGGTCGTTATGGTTTATAAAATTTCTTGAATCTTCCTCCCTTGAATTAACTCGAATAAAATAATTTTCAAACTATTTTATTAAGATTAGTTGCTGTGATTTATTCGCTCGTAAAATATTCTACTGAAGAATCATCGGATTTGACAAGGAGTAATATTAATGTATGTTTTTATTATATATGACCGTAACAATTTTCTATTATAAATCCTTTTATAAATTCAACTATCCTAATGGCTTCTAAGAAAAGGAGGAACGAAGAATACAAAATAGCTCATTTTTCATTCTCTCTAAGATTTTCTCCTACAAATGATTGAAGAAGAAGAAAAAAAAATTGGCAACTCGCAGAAATGATAAGGATGGTCCCATTAGCGATGGGACACGGACGAATCGTCGAATAGGGACATTTATCATTTTTTCGATACTGTCGTCGGATATTCTCTGTTAGCTCGTCCACAAGTCTCGTCCACGATGGCGAAGGCACGTTAAAAATAAGTGTCGTCGCTAAAAGGCGCAGCTCCAAAGTGCGATTAAGCCTTCCGGCGACTGATCTTTTTTATATCTCTTGCCTGGTTTCTTTCTACAGTTACATTCCCAGCCGCTTCCTTATCCTCGCACTAAAAGCTCACGCAGACTCGCGTTATGATACATATAATCTAACGAATGGAATTTCTTTGTCGGTGTTGCGACTAATAATCTAAGACGAAGACGAACAGAGAATTGGATTATTAAACTTCCTGCCTTCCGAGATGACCAACATGATGTATACTTTCGCATAATCTCTAATGAGCTTTATAAGCTTGCGGTTGATACAGAAACTGAGGAAATAATAACAAAAAATTGTTGTATTGTAAGACTCATATTAAGCGTGAGTAATTTCTGCGCCGCGCCGCGGTGTCGTTTGAAAACATTTTTAGATTTTTACAGTCTGTCTTGCCAGCGAGTATCATTGCGAGTAAACAAGGAAACGACGGAGATCTTTAGATGTGCCGCTTTCAATCTAATTATTAACAATTGGATCGTTGACCTCACATTGACGACGGAAACGTGACGACTAAAACGGCAGTCGAAGAACACATTTTTCTGTTACTATTTTATACATTACAAAACGAACTAAATTTAGTAAAATTAAGCAAAATCTAAAATTCTATCATTAAAAAAGTTAGAAAAAAGATTTTCAAGAACATCTTTTTTTATAAAATATTTCTATGTATCATAATTTATAAAACTAAAATAATTACAAAAAGGTATAATAAAAAGATATAATGTAGAGTTTATACGAGTCTAAAGTACTTAAAAGTATAAATTGGCGTCTTACAAAAAACAAGTTGCCTGTCGTGTGTTACATTCAGCGAATAGAAATTCAATTCTGAGAAATATCTGTCCTCATCTCTCTCTTGTATTAAAAAATGAGATTCTAGACGATGAGATCAAAACCATTCTCGGTGATCCGGTATCTTCGTTCACTTTCCCGATAAATGCCATGACAACGATCATTCACTTTCTTTAAGGTACATCCGACCCTTTTCCTCCTTTCGCATAGCCGTAGGTGTTCCACTTTCCACTGCGCCATATCTTTTTTCACTACAATACGAAAAATACGAGAAAAAACAAGATCGATTGCAGCAAGCATCGTCTTAATGCGAATAAAATTACCCGTGTTTATAATTCTCAGTCTAGTCAATTTCTCAAAATCAAATACGAATTATGGCATAAATTGTTTTGCAGTTAAGTAAGATAAATATCGCTATTAAATACCATTTTTAAAATGTCAAGTTGATTGGAGAATATGATGATTTTCTTTAGCGATCATTATTCGTTTTTCTACCATAATTTATTTAATAAGAAAATATTAAAGTTAGTAAATATTATTAATATCATTATAAGATAATAAACAATAATAATATTTAAAAAAATTTACAAATTTAAGTGCAGGATCAAATTTTCAATTATATAAGAAAATAGCTATATAATCAATAAAAACTTTATCAGATGTCACTTCAATAGACGATGTCAGCGACTCTGATTAAGATTTAAAGTCGTAACAGGACGACTGTTCGATCAAGGTGTAACATTGACAAGCAGTAATTTGCGCTCTATATAGACAAACTGCTAATTCATCGCGCTCCAAAAACGAAATTGAATCAGTTCCTCACCGCGACGAAGTCGAAGGACTTCCGGATAAATCGGTGGGTCAAGGTTTTCGCTAAAATTGATCAACGACTGGAATGCTCGCTCGCCTCGCCACGCCTCGTTTCGTCTCGCCTTGTCTCACCACGTGTACGATTCCCGAAACACGCGAATCTGTCGGTCGACTCTCACCGCAATCTTCCAACAACGGGACGCAAGAAGAGCGATCCGGGCAAAACGTGTCATCGCGCTCAGTGCAAAACCGCCGGTTTCAGGTGCAGCTTTCACATTCTCGCGCGGTCTGACCGACGAAGAAGAGGCATTGCCCTGCAGGTGCAGTGCCCGTCCACCTTCAACCGGCCTGACCGACGGTGTAGCGCGCAAATTTTTCGTCCGTTATTTTATAAACTTTTAAACACTCGGTTTCACCAGCTTTCCACAGTACAGATGCGATCCATTAAGTTTTTAACGAGTCTTAATTGCAATTTGTTTTCTCAACAATCTTCGAGCCATCGATTCCCTTTTTTAATACTTAAAGAAACGTTACGTGTTGTGAATTTAATGCTATCTCAAATCTGAGAAAGAAAAGAGAGGGAGTATAAATTTAAATATAACTGTTTTTAAACTTTCATTTGTTGCACTCAATATAAGACAATGTCATAAAAAACTTTAAAATTAATGAAAAACAAGAACACGCGATTGAAAAGAATCCTGATTAAAAGTAGATCTTTCTCCAAAAAAAAAAGGGCCAATCTCTCAATATTAGAATTCAAAACATTAATGTAAAAATTGAACAAACTCGATAGACTGTTAACTCATGCGTTACTACTCCGGATGTGTGCGATGTGAAGAGGTAAAACGTGCGAAAGCGAACCGTGCATCGCACGGCGCGGCCGCAATCGCGGCAATTAATCTCTGCCCGACCGATCTCTTGAAACTATGATTCCCAAGCGAATTAATTACCGCTGCCGCTGCCGCGATAAATAAGTTAATCGCCTCACATGCTCGCAAAAATACAAACGATGCAGAAGGGCGTTGGTCTCCGGATGGCGCGTCGCACTGCATTCTCGCGACGCGACGCGACGCACCTGCATCGCATCGCATCGCATCGCATCGCCATCGTATTAAGCTCTCCTCTCCATTGCATCACCGCAACGGCCGACCACGACTGCTGTAGCGTTGCGTTGCAGTGCGACAAAAACGTAATTTACGACAGCGGCGATGCTACGAGCGAAAACAGGACGAAGAGCACGCGGCTGGGCCGTCCTTCCCTTTCTCTTTTTCTATCTCTTCAAAATTCTGGACTCGTCAGTCAAAATAACAAGGATTCGATAAAAAAAGATGCTCGCTGCGACTGAAACTTCTTTGTTGAAGAACTAACGAAACTTCGAATGGCGCTTGCTAAGGATTCTCTTCGAAGAAGAGAAGAAGGAAGATCATTATCGAATTTCTGAATTATCGCGTGCTCAAATTGTTTTTACTCGCCGAAAGAAATCATTTCGACATATTTATTCGAACTGTCTCTTAACACTATATAGTGATCCAAATAATTTAACTGAAAGATTATTTTATGTATATAATTAAAAAAAAAATGGAACTCATCAAAAAATAATTTCGTAAAAATTTACTTTAATATGTAACAAAATTAAACAGCAAATATGAAGACTTCAATTCCTCATCCAATTTTAAACATTTGTATTAAAGAATGTGAAAACGTATCAATCAATATAATCAGTCGAGAATTGATCTAAATAAATTCTACATCAAATATGTTTATTTCCTGATATAGTATCGTGAAAGATTAAGGGAGCAATACCGAAGGGACATTTTCTCGCCAGTTCCACCTCCATGGAAAGAATCCTTTTGAAGCTACTTGAAGAGACAAATAAAGCAGAAACGCCTCTGTTATTCCGTGTCTATCAAGGAAGAGAAAAGAAAAAAGGTGGAAAGAAAGGAAGAAGAGATAAAAGGAGAGACGAGGAAAGGTAGACAAACGTCTCTCCTTCGTCTTCCAGATGCGCGATTGCTTCTAATTGCCCTCTCAGTGACCACGAGGTGCCTCCAAAGTGAAATTGCAGCAACGAGGAACAGGCAACGGGTTGCGAATAAAAAGAGCACTTCGGGAAAAAGCGAGCGACGTGTATATAGACGAAGACAGAAAAGATTGGTCGTGATGCTCTCCACGAGAATGGCGAGAACGATCTCGAGCGTTTTCGCTAATTAACCTGCGGTTTAGGCCTCGTACTTTTGTATCGCGTCGAGAAACTCGCAAGGCGCAACATCATCTTTACAACACTAAAATTTAGTAAACGCTCTGCGGTAAATCTTCACGTGAAATACAAAGTTTGGCTTGCGCTTCCTTCAACCAAATTAAACCAATTTCATCCGTATAGCGTTTTCTATTCAAAATTCGATCAAGATAAAACGTCACTTTATTATACGAGAATTAAGCAACAAATGTTCATCGATCTTATATAATTGATAAATCTCGTTACTAATATTACGCAACAAGTTATTGCTTTGATTTAGAAAAAAGCTTGATATTAAATTTAATTTAATAGTAATAATTTCAATAATAATAATTTTTAATACATAAGCATAAAAAAGGTTTTCCTTAACAAACAAATAAAATCATATTATATATGCATAATCATATTTATATGTCATTAGAATTCAGAATACACGTTAATTGTAATAAATCATAGGGAAATATCATTAATAAAAAGTAATTATGATTCAATTCGGATGCAAACTCAAGGAGATCCGATCTGTCGATTACGATTCACAAAAGTTAAGTCCGCGGCGAAGATAGCGTCTTAATCATGATGTTCGCCCTAAAAGGAAGTTGGCCAGTCACGAGAACGAAGATCGCATGTAGCATCCCCCATCAGAGTGAAATTTTTCTCTCGAAATTATCATCTCTGCGAACAGCGACGGTTACGAACAGACCGATCGAAGTAACCGATAACCATTTAATGCGCTCATTAAAATAAAATGTAAATCGTATCGCACGCTGGTCCAAGGTCTGCCGCCGTTAGCACCGCTTAAAACGTCACTCCGCCCGAGTCAGGACGAAAATAAAACGAATGTAGCGTAGGAGATCATAAGTCGCTGCAATTAATATCCGGCGGCCCGCAATAATCTCTCTCTCGGTACAGGATCCCCGAACGCGAACACAATTCACCGCGAGGGAAAATCAAGAGAGAAATAGAGAGATGGAGGAACAGGGGGAGCACGAGAGAGACCTCCGATTTTTGCGGCGTTTTTGCAATCTGCACAGCAACTTTGTTATTGATGGCCGCAATGTTGAGAGCGCAGAATAAAGAAGGTAGGCGTTTCCACCCTCGGTTTCGCCTCGCGAATCCCGCGCAACGATCTCCGCGGACGTTTTTCACTTTACGAGGTTGTTGCTTGCGAGGCGCAGCCTCCAAGGTACTAAGGTAGTGCCGTCGTCGCGATTCGAGACCCGTACATACGCCGCTCGTCGTCTTGTAAAAGTCAATATTTATGAGGGTGCTAACCACCGTCATCGCTCATCCCGACTCGTTAGCCAGCTCTCCGCCGGCGCAGCTTTGTATTTACATCCGAAGGACAGGTATCCTCTCTTTATTGTCTTTAAAGAAAACACGTCCACTGTTGCGCTATCTACATGTCTGTAGATCCTACTGCGGTTACCGCTGTTGAGACCGGGACCAGAAATCGCATCTGTTTATCAGCATATATTCGTACGCACTGTCAGCTGTCGACTCACTTTTAGAAAACACGCGAATTGTCGTTTTAAATTCATGAAACCAACTTACGTGGCTTTGAGATTGAGCTTTTACTTATTGATCCGCAGTTGCAAGTTTAAATGAAAATAGGAAATGACAGAAAGTTATCTAATTCAGCTTAATTCAAAAGTTTTTGCTCGATCGAGCTGATTGCTCTTGAAAAATATAGCCATTGCTGCAGCAATATCGCACTTTTTTATTTGAAAATAGTCTGTGATGAATTATAACTTAAATAGACGTTATATTCTTAGATTGTCTATAACTATATACAATTTGCATTTAACTGGAACCATGTACATTTGATATGGCAAGTAAATAGGCATATCGTAGTATTCATTTTTTGCTTTGTACAAGACTGTATACTTTCTCTCGATTACGATTTCTATATCGAAGCATTGATAATTTCTCGATAATAAACGAATAAAAATGATTTTCGTGAATTTAACTTTAATACTACACCGATACTTTCTACTTTCATTTGATCTTAGAACATTGTTTAATCAACATTTTAATTCAAGGTTCGATCACTAAAACATTTAATAATAAAATCGTATATATCAAAAGACACTTCATACTGATTTTATTAAATAATGATTGATTTTTAAAATATCGATCTTAATAGATAGAAAGAAGGATCAATAATATCAGAGCTCATACTAATGTCCGACTTATCGCAATTTTAATCATTTATAGTCAGTTTCATCAATGTAATTCTTGGAATTAAAAAAACATGAGAGTTGAACCAAGATTAAAATTAATATTATATTGGTAGAACTAGGCCTTAGCATTTGTCATATTTTTTCTGTTTCTCTCGGAAAGGTTGCGGTGACTCGTGCTATGAATTGTGACACACGATGGATGGAGAAAGGCTTCGCAAAAGTAACAGGTGTCTAGCAAGGTAAGTCAGTTCACGTGCCGCCATCTCCCACGGAATTGCTCAACGTACCTTTCATTTACTCGGGTCTAATCCGTCGATAAGAACGCTCATGCGTTCAGTAACGTATAGCGCAAATCGTAGATCTCGCACTTATATTTAAATCTTGTGTATCTTTTCAGATATTTCACGATTCAATATTTCAAAGTTCTCTTGCGATTTTACATATGTCGCTTTGAACTCAATATGCCAAATTTGCATTGTAACGTAATTGTACTACTCACCCTCTGACAATGTTCTGCGCTGACTCGCGACAGATCTGCGAGAGGTTGAAAGATAACATCGTGAAATTCGGGGTAACTCCGTGCCAGCGGACGTGCGTATAATTCTTTGGCGCTGCACAATACTTCATGATACTCTTCTTCCGCGTGCAACACCTTCTCTGTAGCTCTATACTTGCGATCTGTGTCTGCGAAACAATTTCAATTCGATTTCGTCAGAATGATATGTCAGCGATCATCTTCACGTGGATAATAATTGCATAAATATCTTATATTATACTATAAATCTTAATTAAACCTTTAAGTCACAATTTAACAAACTTGATTTTTTTCTCTCTCTCACATATAACATAATTTCTTAAAATTAAGAGAAATCAAGGTTGTATGTAAAATATGTAAAAAGCAAGGATTAATTACCTCCGATTGCATTGAATTGCCTTGCAGAATCCTCGATAAGTAAAACTTCGCCATGTAGAAGAGCTACATCGGCCGCAGGATCGACTTCAGCCCTTGAACCAGCAAGCAGCAATCGAGGTCTGCAAACTCGATATTTCAAAAGTATCGGGGCGACCACAGAAGAAATAGCTCCAGGCGATGAAGCTGATAACTGTAATAAAAAAAAAAACGAATTATTGTACAAAAATATCGTTAATTATTCTCGAATCAAACCATCATTGAATTTATTTATTTCAGTGCATGGATAGAATTCTTCCCCAAAAATTTTTAGTTCCTTATATAATATATTTCAAAAGACATTAACATAACTTCATAGAACTTATAATTCACGTAATTTATTATACATGTAATCCGCAATCACACTTTACCAAATAAATAACGATAGAAATTCATACTTGTTATCTCACCTTTAAGTACAATTAATGACAGAGGCAGACACGCATTAAATTAACGAAATCCAAAAATAGCCGAAAAAACAACAAAACCATTCTGTCAAATACGTTAGAAAATTAGATATTTTCTGCAAAATTGATTTGATGAAATCTCCTTTGTACGAGGAAGATCGGTCTGTTCGCAAGACGAAAAGTTCGGAATGTCCTAATTACACGGAGGAAGACTCGCCTTGCAAAAAGCGTCGGATGTCGAGACCGGACATCCCATAACTTCGCACGGTAGCCCCGGCGTGTTAATCACCGAAATCTCGGTTGAGAAATGCGAAAACAGCGCATAATTAAACCGGGTCCGCGCGATATTTACGATCTGACAATGCGGCGGTGTAAAAAAGGGAGATCAGATAAATTTCGAGGGTCCGAAAATCTACATTGCAGAAGATCGTACGTCGACCTTTCAGTGGCCTCTTGCGGTCCAGCAATTCGTACACAAGGCGACTCCCCAAGCGTTTGCATCGCATATGAATATTTATAATATGATAATTGCGCGGCCATAATTCGCACGAATTCTTCAGAAATTCTGGTATATGTACAAGATGCAGTGGAAGTACAGTTGTTTTCTTACACAGCAAATTCACGATTTAACGACCTGAGGGTGATGGAGCTGTCAGTTGAAACCAAGAGCTTCTTAAAGTATAAATTAATTCTTTTGAATCTTCAGACGTGCGTACATCATACAATATTCAAACAAGTAATCGTATTGTGTATTTCTATTGTTTTTCCACTTTTTCTTCATGTATCATGCTGTCTTTGATATTTAAAGTGTATTAAAATTGGTAATTGTTGGAATTTTGTTTTCAAATTATATATATTGAGAAAAAAATTATATACAATTCGAGAAGTACTAACGGGAACTGTTTTATTACAAGTGAAAATATTTATCTTTTTTGTGGACTTTAGAGAAGAAGTATCGTGTTAGATTCGTGAAATTAGCGCACTATATCTTCAATTTTGGTTTTTCGATATAAAACAGGCGAAACTTTTTTTAATTTTTATAAGAAACTGTAGAACTATGAAGAGAGAGAGAGAGAGAGAGAGAGAGAGAGAGAGAGCGAGAGAGCGAGAGAGAGAGAATGCTGCTGAAAGTGTCATTATTTTTTTTATATTAAGAGAATGTTAATTAATTTCACAGATTCTATTATACATATGTATATTTTTTATAGAAAATTTGTTTTTATAAAAAGACAGACAAAAGTTCATCTTCATTTTGCTATTACAAGTATTAATCTTTAAAATTTCAAGATAAACATCTAGTGTAAAATAATAGTAAAAAGAAAATAGGACAATTTCCATAAGATTGCAAAAATGTTTTCATCAGTAGAATTTTTTACCTTTCCTCAAATTATCATTAGAATTTAAAATAATCTTAATTAAAGTTTCTGCGTTACTTCTTAAATTTTATATGTGCATTATTTCTTAAACTTTCTCTTTGGTTCAAAACCACTAGAAGTTTACATATAGATAACTGTAATGACAGACAAGAAGTCCAGTTATAATATTATATAAATCGCAAAATTATTCGACCGTTATATAATATAATACTGGGAATCGAAGGTTAGGATAACATGTCGTTCTTAACAAACGACCATTTTCATGATTAAATGAGTGAGGCTGAAGTATCTTAATCAACACGATGAAAAACGGGAATGTAATTCTTCGTCGCATTACCGTTGCTTGTTGCCCGCCCAACCTTAGTTTACAATCTTATGAGTAACCTTATGCCATCGGTGACAATTTATCGATGCCCCTACAACATCGATAATGCAATTTAATAGTATTTTTGCGATATGGCTAATTACTGTAATAATAGAATTATTAAAGCATTGCCAGACTGAAAATCTCAATTTAACATCTACAATTTTTATATATCAATATTTTATCGAATTTGAAGAAAAAAATCGTACAACTAATGATTTGTCATTATACATATTTAAATCTTAACTCAAGTTTAAATTTATTTATCTTCATTTAGTTATCTTGGAATCAAGAGTTCATATTTCTAATATACTTTGTATTTTTCTATTCCAATAAAATATAATAATCACTTAAAATTTCTAGTATTATACACGTATAAGATAATTCCGGGAATCGAATCCAGATTTTTTATTTGACAAGCAACTATTCCAGCACTGAGCTATCCAATCTCCCCGACATCGGACGCCAATTTGTTTCTAATCTTGGTAAACACAAAGTTCCTTTCATGTTCGAATAATCGTTGTCTCGTGTCAAGGAAGGGCAGGAGAAGAGAAAGAGCAAGATAAATTAAGGAAGATGATACGTTACGATCGCATTATCCCCAGGATCGACGATACGATCGCTATGATTCGGTGGAATCCGGCAGTAAAGAGGCTTACACTTTAAGTATACCGTTAATCAGATTGTAATTTTTCCCTTCCGCTTTTTTAATATGATGCAGCCGAGTCAGACATTCGGCGATTTACATACAACATACGTAATGAAGATAAGCGCATTCTTTTCGGCCAGATCCAGACGAATGTAATAATACAAAGTGGGTCGCCGTTAAAAAAGCCTTATTATTAATTAACGCGCCGTCGCGCCTTTGTAACGGACTTTGTAATTTCCTAATCTCTGCATATTCGCACATATGTTTATTTTCAAGCCGTCAATGAGTGTTTAATGAGTTGCGTGAATATCGTGACTTTACATTTATGAAAAAAAGAATTAATTATCAGTTAAAATCAGATAGTATCTATTAACTGTCAAATTATAAAATCATTTACATTAATGTCATTGCTGTGACGCAACAATTCACTTTAGTTCCAAAAGAAAAATTTCAAAATAATTTCAAAATATATAAGTTGAGATACATATTAAAATAATATGTATCTATATTGAAGCTGTGTCCTCTAATAAAAATTATATTGTGCCAATAATAAGATTCTCATGGATTATTTCGTAACAGCGGCTAAAGTTGTTTATTAAAATGATTCCAATAACAAATGAATCAAACAATGAAAAAAAGTCAAGCTATTGTTAAAATATCGTCCGATCTAAGACATTCTCTGTACAACTGCCAGTCACTAATGATTCCCACGATACTGACGAAAGTGTCGGTCATCCGTGACCCCGCAACAGCATTGAACTCGTTAAAACGACGTAACGACGATGAGTCGTTGAATCGTCGTGCATCGTTAGTCATATAATTTCGCATTCGCGACGAAAGAAAATTGAAGTGTGTATTTTCTCTGTCTAGTTATCTGTGACTTGCATTTCATCAGTCCATGTACTCGATCCCTCTTCATCCCGCTATTGATACGTACATCCATCTCTTTCGAGTATCCTCATCCTACATTATGTACGCACGCAATATATGTATAACCGTAATTCTTTCCTGTAATTCTTATCTGAAAGAGATATTGCGCGAACTTACCAAATTCGCGAGTATAACGCGCGTCGTCGAGAAGATTCATGGCAGCATCTCGGGGAGTAATGTCCTCGCGGGATTCTCCGATGTTGTATTTATGCGGAGAACGCGTTATCCCTTCCCTTGGCGACGCACACACATGTACGTACTCTCGATCGGAGAGAGGAGACCGCGCGTCCACTCTCGCTTTTAATAAAGCCAAACCGGAATCGTAAAGCTGAATCTAAATTGCATAATTATACCGGTCTACGTCTCTCTCTTACTCCAATGTACATAGCACTTACATCCCTCCTATCATTTCTATCTCTTTTTTCTCTTTTTTTTTCTATCTTTCTCTTTATCTTCTTTTTATATTCAATGATTTTTTTTTGCAAGCAGTCTTGAGTCGTTTCTATTCTCTTCGCCTCTTTTCCGCGAATAAAGATTAAGAAAATAATGATATTACGAATCAATAGCATGAACGTTAGCATAAACGTTAGCATAAATGTCGGTTGTCTTTTAAAAAGATCTCAAGTATTGCCGTAATCAATAAAAAAATAAAAAAATGAACTAAAAAAATATTCTTCTTCTATAAGAGATTTAAAATTTCAAAATAGAATTACAATTACGATTATCGCGAAGGTATTAAATAAAAATAATATTCAATGTATGTGTCGTTGATAGTTTTCATTTTAAAGATTAATAGAGATAATGTAATAAATAATAATTTGCATAAATTAGAAAAGAATATTCAAAAATTGAGCAACAGTCCAACGAAATGTATAAAATATGTCAACAACTACAATTTTTAACTGAAAGACAAATAATCGGTATAATGGCGCACTGTTCAGACAGTTAGTTTCGTAACTATATACCCAAAATTATTATACGTTATTTATAATATATATAGAGCATTGAACAATTAAATTCTCAAGAGGATAAATTATCTCTTTGCAAATACACGTACCATTTAAAGTTCAGTAGTTATAAAATGAAATAAAAGAACAACAACTGAATTCATAAATACATAAAACTGAACATTTTCATCTGTTTTTTAAATTAAGTCTAGAATGACAAAACAAGATTTCCAATAGAAAGATTCCTAGTAGAAAGAGTAGTATTCAAGTATTTACGAAGGAAAGGTAACAATTGAATGGACGTGTCGAACGATACGGTTCATTCGGCTAGCCGGAAATGATTCTTTCAGAATGGCTCCCAGAATTTACTTTCTTCTCGGCGTGGCACACCGTCTCTTCGTCCAATTATTCGGCCCAGTGATTTCGTATGCGCGAAACGACACCGCACCCGCATTCTTTTCGGTCAACATTTCGCAAGGTT